TGTCACGAAATCGTATAACATCTTTACTTTCAATAAATACTCCATGTTTAAAATATCTTGATGTATCAAAAAATCGTTTAACACGTTTAAATGGTCTTGAAACATTATCAAATTTAAATATTCTTCTTGCAACAAGTAATCAATTATTAACAACAATTGGTTTACAAGGTTGTACAAATTTATTATATATTGATATATCTGATAATCATCTTGTTGAAATGGAACAAGTTGATCAATGTCCATTATTAATAACATTAAAAGCTAATTCAAATGCACTTATACAAATACCAAATTTATTTAATGCTATTTTATTAAATGAACTTGATCTTTCATCAAATAGTTTAACATCATTTGATGAATTATCTATTGGATCATGGTTACCATATTTAACACATTTACGTTTATCAAATAATAATTTACAAGAATTATCATCGATTAAATTACCATCATTAATTGAACTTGATTTAGCATTTAATCAATTATCTGGTAAGAAATAGAAAGGAAGTGTATTTATCTACAAAATAGCCTATCGTAATTTTAATATTCTGACTTCATGTTTCATATATATTCTGATAGAACTCGTCGAGGTGAGATTTTTTTGTAACGAAACTTAGTCTTCAAAATGTAATCCTGGAAAAATATTATCCTAACAATTACCAGAATAGAGCAGTTTATTACTGCCATATATTGAAAATATCTCGACATTGAAGTATTGATTTGCATTAAAAACCAGTAATATGTCGAGTATTTGTCAGCTAATTTTACTCAAAATATGAAAAGTAACAACATAATCACGTTCAACATAAAAATCTGAGCTGTACATTTCAGTAACACATAACAACCTTGTTCTTATCGAAAAATTTAACCCACGTCCTCCTCAGGGATGTTCCAATTCATCTGAAATATCATCTGGATTATAAGAAACAAATTTTCAACCTTTGATACTCCATTAAACCCCATAAAGAAATACGCTTAAATAATTAAAACAAGGTATTTAATGAATTAATTCTTGGAACATTCCTCAGGAAGATGTGGACTAAATTTTTCGACGAAAAAAAACGTTTTCGTATGTTATTGGAGCATAGAGCTCAGTTTTTTATGCTGAACATGATTATGTTATTGGCTTTCATATTTTGAATAAAATTATCCGACAAATATTCGACATATTACAGGTTTTTAATACAAATCAATACTTCAATGTCGAGATATTTTCAATATATCGCAGTAATAAACTGCTGTATTCTGACATGAGTTTTTTCAAGAAATCTTTCTTTGAAGTATAACTCTATTCGGAATTAACCGAAAGAAATGGTATTTATCATGAAGATAGAGCAAATTATGACCTTCATATTCTGTGATAAAATATTTTATGTATTCTAGACAAAGAAGATTTCAGACTGTCGATGAAAGATGAAAAGGAAAAAGATTGTTATGATAATATTGTTCTAGAGTTACATTTTCAAGACTAAGTTTTGTCGCAAAAAAAACCTCACTTCGACGAGTTCTATCAGAATATGTGTGAAACATGAAGTCAGAATACTAAAAGTACCATGGACGATTTTGTCGGACAAATACACTTTTGTCGTTTCAATCGGAAAATTATTTTTTACATGATTCGTTTTTTTTCTTATAGATATATCAATATTAAAACGATTTATAAAAACTTGTCCATTATTATCTCGTATTAATTTAGAACAAAATCCAGTTCTATGTGATATAAAAGATTCATTATTAATTGAAGAAAAATCTTGTCAAAATCCTCTATCAATTTTACCACAATCATTAAATGAAAAATCATCACAATCAATTGAATTATATTTAAATTTTCTTTCAAATATAACTTCAATGTTTATTAAACTTCGTCAAACAATTGAACAATATCAAATTGAACCAATTCATTTAATAAAATCAATTCATAATCAATGTCAACAATATTATGAACAAAAAATCATCGAACCTATTAAAATCTCTGAACCAATTCTTCCTGTTACTAATAATATGAAAAATATATCAGCAGACGAACAATGTATTATTCGATTACAAGCTCATTGGCGTCGTCGATTAATTGAACGAAATTTATCATTAAAATGGCGAGCAGCTCAAAAGATACAAGCTCGTTGGCGTGGTCATGCTGTACGACAACGTATACGTACTGTTCGACGTTTATTTAGTCAACAACAACAGCAAACATTTGATGAAATTGATTTAGCTCAATTTGATTTTGATGAAGTAAATCATTTGTTTTTTTTAATTTACTGATGATTTTGTGTTTTCAGGCAGCTTTTGATGCACGTTTTCAACGACCACGTACACCATCTGTTCGTGTTCAACAAGTCTGGCAACCTCAAGCTCAAATCTTTTCAAAAACGACAAGTATAACAGAACTTCCTCGTTCAAATTCATCTCGTTCATCATCAGTAGCTTCATCACGTGCTAAACCATTCATAGAACCATTATCTATAGAAGCTCGAACTCAACTAATTACAAATGAATGGGGTTTTGCACCATCAAGTTCAACAGCAGCATTAATGTTAAAACGTGCAGAAAGAATGAAATGGAATGCCGAACGAAAACATAAACGAGAACATTTAGGTTTATTTGATTTCCTTAGATTTTATGTATAAGTTTAGGTGTATTTTTTATTAGATGCTTATCAACGTTTACAAAAAGCACGTCAAAATGAACAACCACCCGGTTCATTACGATTAGCTAGACGTCAAGCATCATTAACAAATGCTACTAAACCAATTGAACAGACAAAACGTATAAATTATTTTACTATTGTTATTAAAAGAATGATAGACGTGACTATTTTTCGAATAACTAGACAACAATAAGAGTTATAGACTTGTGTATCACATTTCTGAGGGAGGTTTTAAAAGTCTAAAATTTTCCCATTGGGCTTCGATTTGTGATGGAACCATACGATAGAAAAAACTCTTGTCCTTCAATCTACGTAAGATCAACCTAGCAATTTTGTTTTGTTCGGCAGTTATACAGGTTTTCTAGAGATTCCACAATTTCGATTAATTGATCTTCAATCACCTTGATGCCATTATACTAAAGTTTTCAAAATATGAACTCTATGCTATATAGCGACAAAATTTGAAATCTTAATATAAACAATGGAGATCGTTTCGAAATTAAGAACACATATGACCACTCAACTCAATATAGTGAATTGCTTCCCTGTTGATCTCTTCCAGGATGATCCATGGTCAATTAGTCGAAATCATGGACCTTGAGGAAGTTCGTATAACTCCTGAACACAACAAGTTAGCAAGGTTGACCTTACATAGATTGAAAGACAACAATTTTGTCTATCGCATGGTCAAATCATAATGACATACATTGATGTTCTCATTCGAATGATGAAAACCGTAATTCTCTATTTCTTGTTGTTTTCTAATTATTCGGAAAATAATCATACTCATTACTTTTTGAAAATGATCGTAGTTTTCTAATTGATATTTCTATTTTTATCTTCTAGCTTTATCTCCTCCTTCTACTGGTCAATCTCGTTCAAATCGTGTTTATGAATGGGTTCATACTGAAGTTGCTCGAATCGATGAGTAAGAACTAATTTATATATCAAATGAAAACTATTCTATTTGATAATTCAGTTCGTCATTGGGAAATGTTCATACTCCAAGAAATGAACGTAAACGTTTACCAAGTATTGATGGTTCAACAGATCTAATAAATGTAAATATTATAATAAAACTATTTATGAGAAAAAATAAATTGTTAATTTTTAGCGAACAGGAGCAAATGAAACTTCACAACAACAACAACAACAACAGCGATGGTCTACTTCAACAGGTAAAAACAATGTTTTACCAATAAAATACATATAGTTTATTCGATTTTATATAGTGTCTGTTCGTCAACCACCACCATTATTACCACCTATTAATGGACATTTACCACGCCTTTAATTTTTGAACAAAATTCAGAGTCAGATTTTAAGATTTATAAATTATTTTATAAAATAAAATATATTTTTTTGAAATGTCAACGCGTTCATCTTGTTTTATAAACAAAAATATCCAAGTACATTCACGTTAGATTACAGGAGGGAAAAAACAGTTATCCCAAGATTTGTTATATCATAAAAAGAATGAGCAAAACGTACTTAGACGTTAATTTTTGTCTCAAAAAACGACATATTTCGGTTCGATTTCTACAATAGTTTGTCTCGTCCGTTCTTTTATCTTTTAGAAAAATAAAGTAAAAAAATCATTCAGAAATTCATAACGTGATGTAATGGAAATATTTATTGTTCATTATTATATCAACAAAAAAAAATCGTTGTTGAATTGAATTGTTAAAAATTTTTACTAGTTGAAATATTTCATTATTTACAATCAAACAACGCAGCAATAAAAGAAAATGATAGATTAATATCAAACACTGAAAAAAACATTTAAATTAAACAATTTCGTTTTAATTCTTCGTCATAAACGGACATCTATCGAATAATAAAATTCAATTCGCTTTTCATTTTCTTCATTGATTTACAAAAAAGACCTTATTATCTATTTTTGTAGTCGCTATCTAGTAATAAAACAACTACTGTTTATTTTCATTCTTACATATTATATACACTAACTTATCAAACTAGAAATCATGACAAAAAAAGCCATATGGAATGGTCAAATTCTTGCTGAAAGTGATAAAACAATTGTTGTAGAAAATAATTATTATTTTCCGCCGGATTCAATTAAAAAAGAATTTTTCAAGGATTCAAATACTCATACAACATGTGGTTGGAAAGGTGAAGCATCTTATTATACAATAGCTGTTGATGGTAAAGAAAATGCAGATGCAGCTTGGTATTATCCAAATACAAAAGAAGCAGCTAATAATATTAAAGGTTATATTGCATTTTGGAAAGGTGTTAAAGTTGAATGAATATTTTATTTTAATTTACTCTTAATTATCTTTTTTTTTTTTTGATTTTTCCTGAGATAATAAAAAATAAACTATATACAAAGAATTTAATTCATTGAAATTGTCTTTTTCTTGATTTCTTTCCATTCGAAATGTTCACATCGTGCTTGTGGATTGCCCGGAGCACCATTAGCCCGTGAACATACATAAAAATATCGTCCCCAATTAATAGATGATGTATCTTTAACTTTACGTATAACGCATTGTTCTTTATGACCAGAACATAATGGTGGTGGTGTTGGAGGACGAAAAATTTGATTCCATGTAGTTTTTGTCGTTGATTTTTCGTTAGATTCAATATTTGATGAAGAAATAACTTCCGTATTCTTTAAGAATAATGTATAGATTGAAAACAAAAAAATTTATTAACACATGAAAACATACTTTAGATATTGAATTGTTAGAAGGAATGAGTTTTGGTTGAGAAGTTCGTTTGAAATGTTGAAAAATTGATGATTGATCTGATTTGATTTTTTTTGATGGAGGTTTACTTTCGATTACTGTTGATTTGTCAATGATTTTTTCATTTGACTGATTAATCTACAAAAAGTAATCGTTCAGTATTAATATTAATTTTTAATCTCTATCATTGAAGTTTATAATTCATACTGTTATTTTGACGAAAAAAAAAAAAGTTCATCATCAAGACGCAGATAAGTAGAATGACTGACAATAAAAAAGCGTTAATCTCGAACAACT